GCTCTTTCTCTCTCTCCCTTCCTTCCCTTCCTCCCTCTCTTCCTCCTTCCTTTCCTTCTTTCCATTCTTTTTTGTTGAATCTGCGTCTTAATATGTTGCTCAGGCTGATCTCAAACTCATGGCCTTAACCAATCCTCCCACTTTAGCCTCCCAAAGTGAAAGTTCCAGGATTACAGGTGTGAGCTACTGAGTCCAGTCACTTTTTTTTTTTTTTTTAACAGAAAGCCATTTTTTTGTGAAAGAATGATTGAAAGCTAAACTATTATTCCAACTTGAGTATTTGGCAGGCATGTTCTTTAAAATGATCAGAACAAGACTGTTACTTCAAGGAAAACAATGGCCAACAGTTCTTGCCAATGACAAAATTTGTAGTAACTAGAAAAATAGAATTTTGGAAAAATTGCATCTGCTACCCAGAGTAACAATACTCCTAATACTTCCCAATACTTCAAGACCTATCTGATGAGAATGGTGGTGATATTAACAAATGTGCTTTTTTTGATATTGCATCATGAAATCTGAAAGATCTGCATAACTCAGTGAACCAGCATTTTTCGAAAGACAAAATCATTATATGTCAAAATTATACATTCGCTAAATATGTAAACCAATGGATTTTATGTAACAATAGGAAATGTTCATTGAAATTATTTCATACTCCTCATTGAAACTAACTTTTACCTGTCATCTAGTTTGAATGTAATATCAAAGAAAAGTGTCTATAGTCATTGGAAAAAGCTATTAAATGCTTTTCTCTCTTCTAACTATAGTTCTATATGAGGTTTGACTTTCTTCATGGAATCCAACAAAGAAAAGTTGCAACAGATTAAATGCAAAAGAAGATAAAAGAATCCAATTGCCTTAAGAGATTTGTAAAATTGTAAAACAGCATCACTCTGCTTTAAAGCAGAAGGCTTGCTAATTTTTGCTTTGTTTTGGAAATGTAGCAATTTTTCATAAAAACATAGTGGAGTAATAGGTGGTAGGTTTCCAAATGTAATTATTTAGTGAATCAGTAAATAACTATTTTACAATATTTCAATTTTTTTTTTTTAGTTGGAGTCTCACTCTGTCACCCAGGTTGGAGTGCACTGGTATGCTCACAGCCACCCCAGCGTCAATCAGCTGGGCTCAGGCGATCATTCCAACTCAGCCTTCCAAGTAGCTGAAACTACAGCGACACACTACCACACCTGGCTAATTTTTTAATTTTTATTGTAGAGATGAGGTCTTGCCAAGTTGTCCCGGCTGTTCTTGAACTGTGGGCTCAGGCAATCGGCTCACCTCAGCCTCCCAAAGTGCTGGTATTACAGGCTTGAGTCACCACATCCAGCCTCGATTTTACTTTCTAAGAAGGTGATTATTGATAAATATAACCCACACAAACAAAAACTTTTTGAGGAGTCTTAATATTTAGGAATGTAACAGAGTACTAAGATCTAAAAGCTTAAAGACTGCTAGATTAAAATAACTAGAGATAATTAAGTGTTCATGAGAAGAAGAAAATGAAAATCAAATTGTTTGAATGTATGTTTTGTTCTGAGCTCATTCAATTCTCACAACTACCCTAGGAGGTCAATGTTATTATCCCTATTTATGGGTAATGAGACTGAGCTCAAAGAGAGTAGTTGTTTATTCAAAGTTCTGGTTTAAACTCAGGTCTGAAAAACTCTATGCTGTTTCCTTTTATTCATTGCCTTCCTGCTAAAGAACATCTTATTCTATAATTATAGGGTTTAGTTTGATTGAAGAATTGACTTTTGTCTTGGAGTATATATGTGTGTGTGTGGTGGAGGGAGATAGTATATGGGCAGAGAAACTGAGAGAATTAGGGATACAATAGAAAAGGAAAACATATAATGTTGATCCTAAAAAAGAACTTCCTCTTTAAAACCTGAATGGTAAACTTTACCTAGAAGCATTTTTAAAAACACCTTTACAAAATAGACATATTGGCCCTTTCAAGTGATCAAACATGATCTTGGGGACCCTACATGCTGTACCCTGTGCAGTGCTCTTGTCTCCCTCTAACCACACTCTATTGTTGTTGAGAGTACCTACTACTGTATTTACCAAGAACTCATCACGGTCAGGCCTAACCCCAAATGCTCCTTTACCTCAACCAATGCTTACAACCACTATGCGTGATCAGTATTGCATTCCAAACCTACAAAGGAAAATACTGAAGTTTTGAGAAATAAAATGAAAGGTCACATTATGAATGAATGTATGAATCAAGGCCTAATCCAAGGTTGAGTCCAAAGTCTACATGCATTTAACCACCATGTAGTGCCATGTGCTCGCTTCCCCAAAGAACTTCAGCTCCTTGAAGGTTGGGTCCAGGTGTTTTTCTCCCAGATAACTCCATACCTAGCACAGTGTTTGGTACGTAGTTGGAGCTCAGTAAATTTTTGTTGCATGAGCAAATGAATAAATGAATGGATGGATGGATGAAATATAGTCAGAGCTAAACAAAGAGCCAAACTACTTTCATTTTCTAGAAGTCTGATTAAGGACAGGATCTAATTGTTAGTTCAAGAGGCTGGGCTTCCTGCTTAGCTGAGCCATCCAACCTTGTTAATTTTAACTGGTTCCTCTAGTAACATTCCACACTCATTCAATGTAGAAAGGAAAATCTGGCCTAATAAATAGTGCTGGAACAACTGGTTACCTGTATGGAAACCAGCTTCAGAAGAAAACATAGGCAAAATCTTTACCTTAAGGCAAGCAAAAATTTCTTAGGACAAAAAATATACTAGTAATGTGCTATAAAGAACTCTTATAGCACACTATTAAGAAGACAAACCATCTCATGTTTTTAAGTGAGCAAAAGTTTTGAAAAGATACTTCACAAAACAAGAATTAAGAATGGCAAATAAACACATGAAAAGATGCTCACCATCATTAAGGTAATGCAAATTAAAGCTACAATGAGATACCACTACACACCTCTTAGAATGGCTAAAATTAAAAAATGACAACACCAAGTGTTGGCAAGGATGGGGTATCTGGAACCTTCTCACAATCCTGAGAGAATTGTAAAATAGTACATTCATTTTGGAAAAGAGCTTGGTAGTTTCTTTAAAAATTAAAAGCACACCTATCACACGATTCAGCAATTCTAGTCTAGATATCTAAGAGAAATAAAAGTATATATCCATACAAAGACTTACATGCAAGTGATCATACCAGCATTTTCATGATAGCACCCCAAATTAGAAGAAACACAAATGTCCACCGTAAAAGAGTGCATAAAATGAAAGTAACAAGTCTATATAATAGACTATTAATTGAAACAAAAAGGAACACACTGCTGTTACATACAAAATCATGGGTAAAGCTTTAGAACATTACATTGAACAAAAGAAGCTAGACACAAAGGGTAGGTACTACATTATTCTATTTATATAAAATCCAAGAATTGGTGAAAACAATCTAAATTATAGAAAATGAAAAGTGAGGAAGTAAAATTGACTGTAATGGGGCATAAGGGCACTTTCTGAGGTGATGGAAACATTGCATCATGTTGTGGGTTTTGATTATAATGGCATATTCAATTAACAAAACTCACTAAACTCAACGTTTCTGATTTGTACAACTTATTGCATGTCACTTATACCTTCAAAAGAGGGAAGGGGAGACAGGTAGTGCCCTTTATTAATTGGCCCCTCTTTTCCTCCTCTCTTCCAGCCTGGAATGAATAAGTAATGTCTAGCACCCCAGCAGCCTTCTTCGACCATGAAGGAAAAATCCAAGCACAAATGATGGTGAAGCAGAGAGAAGAAAAAGGCCTAGATTCTTGTGTTTGTGGAGCTGCCATGCCAGTCTTTCTCTAGACCTTTATGTGAAAGAGAAAAAAAACAATTTCTTTCTTTTAAGCCACTGTGTCTTATACAAGCAGCCAAACACCATTCCTAAGGGTCACAATCAATGATAGACTCCTTTCATGGCTAAATTATTTTTGACTATGGATTCGAGTTGGTAATGACATTGAACTGTTTTTAAATGGCATCATAAAAGCTGTTTGTCTTTTATGGTGATTGATGCCTTGGATGTATACAAGTATTATAAGGTAATATATGTTTGGAAACTCATTTTGTATATACTAGATGTACAGTAGTAAAGGCCTTGGTTTTGGATCAAACCAGATGTTGGCACAGATCATCAGTGAATCATGTGGCCTTGGGCAAATTACTGACCTCTCAGAGCCTCTGTTACTTCCTTTGAGTGTAGGACTGATGAAACCTGCTTTAACTTGCTGTTATGATGAAGGCTGAGTAAGATCATGTATGCAAAACCTTCAACACAAGGCCTGGCAAGAGCAAGTGGTAGCCCCTTTTCAATAGAAGGATATTAAATAATTTGATTTTGAACATGTCATTGACTGTACAGGGAAGCCATCACAAAGCCATTCACCCTCAACCACCACCTGCATAATGATGTGGTTTTAATAGCTAATTATAGCATATTATAACAGAGTCACTGTCTCATTTACTCCTGAGTTTAATAGCATTGAAGTCTGCACAGGCCTTCTCCAAAGCAATAAGAGAAACCACATTCCCCAAAGTACGTCAGAGGAAGCTGCAAAAATTATTATTTTGGCAGACGTCATTGTTGTAGAGACAGACTTGGAGAAAGTGTAAGTTACTGTCAAATAATCTCAGAAAGTGGTGGTCACTGAGGACAGAATGTCTTTGAGGGGCTGGGCACAAGCCAATGGAACCTACAGTGAAAGACTTAGTCCCTTTGTCTGCATCACAAAAATCCCAGTTTGCCACGTCCTGAGCTACACAGGGAGGCAAGGACATGGCTAGAACCACGCTGTTAAGATGATCTCACCTTGGCTGCAAACAACCTAGGTCATTGGGAGAACTGCTAAGATCCAACTAGACGAGACGGAAATGCCAGGGAGTTAGCAAACTCCTGGCAAGCGCAGCTCAGAGTGGGGGTATCTCTGCAGAAAATCAGTGCACAAGGATGCCAGAGAATCATTTACTTACCTGCAAGGGTTGGCGATTTCTTCTGGTGTTGTTTTCATAAAGGGGGATACAGGTTTTTCTACAAAAGATCCAAAGCCCAGTCTAAAGTTGCTCGTTAATTTAGACATCTCCTTGGAAAGCCGGGAGCCCAGCTGTTTGATTGTGTTGAGGTCATCATCCATGGAGGCAGAGAGGTCCATGAGGTAATACAAATCCACTGGGTAATCCTCAGTCTGGCGGACATGCACTTGCAGCGTCTGTGCGCCACCTGCAAAGCCCCAGCAGAAAAGCAAATCCAGAAAAACACACTGAGATTTATTTGAAATTAGCCAATTGCTGGGTCAGCTGGCTATTTCATTTCAATAACAACTTACTGAAGATACATATGATTTCTTGAACTATGTGGTAGAGTTTGTAAATGAACAAGACCATGAATTCTTCCAGCAGGGAGTTTAGAACACCCGAAGGAGGAATAAGTTAGGATATTTTATATATCCTTGGGAGAACTAGCATCCATTTAGATGGAAGATAAGCTGAATTTTTTGTGTGTGGTTTTAGAAAAGGAGAACCAAATAAAGGAGGATTTAAATCTACATTACAACCCTTGCAGAAATATGAGGTAAGCCTTAGCAACATCTGAGCAATTCAAGTGCTTCTGTGAGAGAAGGCTTCTTTAGTAACACATTTGGAGTGCAAGGGACCAATGTGAAAAAAGAAAAGTGTTAGCTTAATGATTTTCTATTTCCTTAAGAAGGAAAAATTTGAATCACAGAAATAAAGATACGTAATATATTACGAGATATATTAGTGGAATAGAGTATCACCATATAAGACATTAGGTTAATTTACATGAACCAAATCATGACCTACCTGGTCTCAATTTAAGAATCAAGCTTTGAGGCGCAATCTGAACAATGTCAGAACTATTCTTCTGTCTGCCGACACTGAGAGGCTTATTTTTAAGTATTTCTACTTGGGAGACAGGGTTTTCGATGAAGTTTAATTGGCATCCTTTAGCTAAAAGATTTGCTGGGCTATCACACCTTTCACCAACTCCAGATGGATGGGTAAAATTCTAAAAAAAAAAAAAAAGAAAGAAGAAAAAAGAAAGAAAGCACAATGATGAGAAAAAAAGACAAATCTGAAATTCTTTATAGGATAACAGCAACTGAATTTTTTTTGCATGCTTTGCTAGTTAAGCATCTTGTCATACTAAGTATATCATATCCCTACATGACTGACACTGATTATAGGTCTAAAGTTAAGTTATAGGTGAATAAACAGAGAATTCTGCCAGTAAAATTCTGCATACAACTAGAGCCTCCTTTTAATTATATCCAACTGGATGCGCGTAACTTTTTTTTTTTTTAACTTGCTTCTTTACAGCTCCTCCCAGGACATGACCAGATCCTCAAAGTAGTTGAGTTCATAGAGTTGACTATTCTGTGAATTTATCCCTTCAGGATGCCCTGTAAGTTTGTAGAATCCTAGGACTGCCCAAACTGTCCAGTGTGTCTATTCTCAAATTCAGTGGCAAAGAGAGTTTTTCTGTTGATTTCTAAAGGGTGAGGATTGTCATATTTCCCTATGTAGTACTCTGTACCAGTTTTATGCATTGGTGCGCTACCCTTATGTTACAGCATTACTTCACTCATATTAACTTCTTGATAACTTTATTCTAGTTCAAGGTGTCTTAGAACGTTCTCTGAAATTTGGAGGTGAGGAAGGGGAGTGAAAAAGAAGATAATGGCCAGGCTAGGAGGCTCAGCCTGTAATCTCAGCACTTTGGGAGGCTGAGGCAAATGAATTGCCTGAGCCCGCAGGTTCTAGACCAGCCTGGGCAATTGGCAAGAGCTCCTCTCTACAATAAATAAAAAAATTAGCCTGGCGTGGTAGCACGCGTCTGTGGTTCCTGCTACTTGGAAGGCTGAGACGGACAGATCGCTGGAACCCGGCAGGTGCACGCTGGGGTGGCCGTGAACGTGCCACTGCACTCCAGCCAGGATGATGGAGTGAGACTCCAACTCGGAAAAAAAAAAAAAGAGGCCGGGCTTGGTGGCTCAGCCTGTAATCCCAGCACTTTGGGAGGCCAAGGCGAGTGGATTGCCTGTTTTTGTAGGTTCGAGACCAGTCCAGGCAACTTGGTGAGACCTCATCTCTACAATTAAAAAAAAAAAAAATTCGGGCGTGGTACCGCACACCTGCAGTTCCAGTTTCTTGAAAGGTTGAGGCGGAAGGATTGCCGGAGCTCAGCAGGTCGACGCTGGGGTGAGCGTGAGCGTGCCACTGCACTCTAGCCTGGGTGTCCAAGTGAGACTCCAATTCAAAAAAAGAAAAAGAAAAAATGATTTTTAAAAATCTGCTTCTGTGTAGGACACAGGAGTTTCCCAGCCCTCTTCAGATCCACCTGAATGGATCTGCAGGGTGGCAGAGAGATATAGTCTTTCCTAGCAGAGATGTGGCCACCCAGAACAGAGAGGTGGAGCCAAGAGATAAATACTTACCTTACCTGATAGCTATGGCTGTTCTAGAGCTGGCGAAGCACTAGACAAACTTGATGCCCATTGACTCTCATGCTTAGAGAGAACAAGTCAATTCTCATTTTTTTTTTTCTTGCGCCTTAGAATTCTAAGCCACTCGATTCCTAAAAGATCTAAAAATCGACCTCCCATAAGACTCCACAGTCCCCCTACTGGGAATATACCCAGAGGAACTCAAACCACTCTATAAAAAAAGATACCTGCACATGCATGTTTATTGCAGCATTATTCACAATAGCAATAACATGGAACCAACCATGTTGCCCATCAAAAGAGGACTGGATTTTTAAAAATGTGGTACATATACATGATGAAATATTAATCAGCCATAAAAAAGGACAAAATTACGAACTTCACAGCAACTTGGATGGACTTAAAGTCTATAACACTGAGTGACCTATCACAGAAACAAAGAACCAAGTGTCATGTGTTCTCACGCATAAGCGAACCTTGAACAACTATCGAAATACTATAAGAAAGGGATTGGCAGTAGAGGGAAACTCCCGGGGTGGGGGCACACACCTCACCAACAAGGGTATCTGCATAATGAATATTTGTATATCTAACCCTGAATTGTACTCCATGTATTTAAAATTAAAAAAATTTTAAAAGAAGAAATTGAAGCCACTTTTGCTGTTTTCACCAACTAGGAAAGCAGATTTCTTCTGAAACTAACTGTGAAATGTTATTTGTTATCTATCAGTCAGGCCTGTGCATATCTGAGGCTCTAGGCAAACTCTATAACTTCCCATGATGTAACCAAGGCAAACAGTAGCTAGACAAAGCTTCAGAATCCTTCTCAATACAGTGTCATCACTGTCACCAGTAGTCATGGCTTTTGCCAAAAGATCAGAGGTAATGGAAACCACATAATCTATTTTCTATTTGCCCTAAGCAGAAGCCTAATTTACTTTTTTGTTTCAACTGCCTCAACTAGTATTCTGATATACCTACTTCTACTATTAGAGTGACCTGCCAGAAGAATTTGGCATTAAAATTTGACAACAGTTTGGCTACCAAGTATTACTCACAAGTAAAGCTATCAATTAGCAACTTAGGAATTTCTCTTCAGTAAATGCTAAAAAAATGTATTTTAAAAAAATTCTAGACTGATTTGTTGTTTTATACCTCTGGCAAGAAACAAATACTGTCTTCTTTAGGAGGTCAATGTCCAAAAACCATGTGGCTCCTTGTATATTCCAATCCTGCTTTGACACATGAACTCAGGAGAGCATAATTCTCTTGGAACTTTTGTTTGTGGCCTGGTCAGTCAAGGCAGTATTGGGGGAGTAAGCTGTGTTTGTACATTCTTGCCTGTGAGGTTACCCTCCACAAATATACATTCAACTTAGAATGTGGATTTTAACCGTTACAGCCCAGTTCTGACTCAGGCGTCTGGGGTTGTTTCCCTTTGAGCATGCCACTCAGATCTTGCTGAACTTGGCATTTGCACGGTTTGATTTATGTTTAGATTCTTTCTATGAGATCCAGTGGGTAGAGACTTGTTTTAAAATTCAGAAAGCGAATGCATCTCTTTCTTACCATGAATCATCTACAGATCCCTCTACAGTGTCACAGGACAGTCAGTGAGTGACTTAGGATGGCTGGTTATATATTCCTCTATCATATTCATACTATTTTCACCACATAAGGAATGCTTGTTTGGAGCTTTGTCATTAATGGGGTACAGAGCCACTGAGCTCATGAAAATGTAATTTGTAAAAGAATCAAATAACATCTGAACAATAATGTCCACCCCAAACTTAGAACACTTCTCTTAGAAACTAGCAGTAATACAGAATGGATCCTGATTTCCAGATAGAATACAACTACATTATTGATGTCAAATGTATATATTTAACCTTAGAAAACATCATCTCCGTGATCTCTGATTATCCACAGAGCCTCAATATTTTAATCCATTAGAGCCTTAATATTTAATCAGTTAGAAATACAGAAATGGCTTTAAGATAGGAGGAAGGACTAGGTTAGAGAAAAGATCCCGTGTTAGGTATTTTTTCCAGAATAACTTGATATCCACTTCTTCTACATATTGTTTTTGAAAATCATCACAAAAAAATTCTTTAAAAAATGAAAATCATCACATGAATGCCACTCTGATCCACTAATGTTCACCTTCTCCTTTTCTGATTTGTTTTATTCATATAACTCCACAAGAAGCAGGGCCCTATCAGAATGATCACTGAGGAAATTCACATAAGTGTAAGTGCAGATGGTTTTTAAAAACATATTGAGGTCATTTGTTTTACCTCTTGAGCACACCAGGCACACTGAGGTCCAATGAGCAAGCAGTCTCCACAGCTTTCTGCACCTCCCACAGCACAGCCACCTAGGTGTAGACCCAGCAAGATGCGGGAATTAAGTACATTTTCAGTCATTTCAGTTATGAGATTTATGGTTCTTAATTGAACAAAACAATATCAAAGTTTATTTTAGTATTCCTAGATCAGTGCTCAAAATGTCAGCAATTCACATAAAAGTGCATCTTTTATATCTATCTCACTGAAAATATGTCTTATAAAGTCAAAAATTAGCATTCTCTTTTTTCCTTAAAATGTGAAGACATCTAAATGTTCACAACCACAAGATCATCCAATTTGTTTTTCTTAGTTAATATGTACCACTTTAATTTTTAAAAATTATTTGTACTCATTTAAAAATGCTTCTCTCTTAAATGGGGTGTTTCTGTTTTTGAAATAAATCCTTTTTCCCTTCCAAGGTTATTACTCTCAAGTGGAGGGCTTTGTTGTAGAATAGAATAGAAAAGTTTCTAATGTGGTTGTTACAGTGGCATTAAGAAGTCCTGTTGTGAAGCAACGATGTTTAATTCTCCTTATTAAAATGCCTGTGCAACCTTTGTATTTATTTACCTTAAGCCTAGAGCATTCACTGTGGGAAGAGCCCCGTGTTTGCCTGTAATTTGTTAAAGTGTTCGCTCGGTGACAAAAGAGCAATCGAACAGATCAAATAAAAAATGACTTCAGATCTAGTTTCTGAATCAAATGACAGGTTTGTCAAGCATACCATGCAAGCAATACATTGGATAACGTAGGTCTTACCTTGTACGTGACCATTCCTTCCTAGAAATAGAAAGAAAAGGCAAAGCAGTTCAATCCCCATTCGTTTCCGTTCTCGCTGTGCAGACAGATTAAAAAATGAATTACCTTCAACGTTACAAGACCAAAGCTGAATGTCGTTAAAGTCTTTCTTTCTTGAAGTGTAAAATTTTAAGTGCTACTTACACTGCTTTGAAAAGAAACGTGAGATGTAAATTAAAAAGTTTTCATTAAGACTGAAATGAAAACAGAGGCTACCTGGACAGGTAAAGAAGAAAAGCTGTGTTTAAAAGCAACTTCAACATGATTTACTTCCTTGTTCTCCTTATAAGGAAGGCAGGTGTACAATCACCAAGAAGGTGGGGAAATTCATTCAGTAGAGATTTACGTGTAAATTCTATTAGTCTCTCTGCATCCTAGAGAAAGTTAACATCTTTAGTGAAATACTGATCAATGAAATGTCAAAAGAACCATTTAAATATGGTTGTTTCTAAAATGATTATAATTTAATGTAATCAGTAAAGAAATTAACTAAAACAGAAATACATAAGCTATATATGAGGAAGGTTAAAAAATGAGCTAAACAAAAATACCTGAGATTTTTGTATTTCATTGTTAAATCATTTGCAGAGAATTGAAATGAACTCTGAAAAATAAAAAATAATTATTTTACAGTTAAATTAGAAGGTAGGCTAGGGAAAGTAAAACATTGTGTTTCCTTATTTTTCAAATTGGATGAAAAATATATTTCCATAAGTATAAAATTCTTTTTTATAGCGTGCCATTGGAAATAAACATAATAAATAAAAGACAAAGAAGATCAAAATAAGATAGTCTCAAATAAAAGATATTTATTTGATGAATGAGTGACAATTCAAAAATATAAATGATCTATGGCTAAATTCATGAGGTTGCTTGTATTAACCACCCTCCCTCCAATGTATTCTTCGGGAGGGTGTTTGGGGATTTGTAGAAATGGTGAACAGATAAGAATCAAATACTCACTTCATCACTCTCTAAACTCTCTGACCTTGGAGAGGCTCCTTTGTGGCTGGGCTTATGTCCCAGGAGATTATCTTTCAAAAGAGCATTTCTAGGTAAGCGCTGAAACCTGTAAAGAGAGGGGAACTAATTATAGACTTCTTAGGCTCTTCTTAGAAGCCTGTGTTCAAAGTTGAACTCCATCTTACCCAAGAACCTGGAAGAACATGGCAAGAATCCTGAAGTGAGAATCCAGAATTATTGAGGAGTTAGAAGATATGCCTTTTGAGAGAAAAATACAGTTATATGAAATTAGTTGATTTAACTTGAAGAAGAAAGATTGAGGCATAAATTATTCATGTCTCTGTTTTTGCCACCAGTTTTTGAATCCAGCAATTATTAGCTGCCATTCGTTCATTCATCCATTCATTCAGCAAGTACTTATTGAGCATCTGCTTTGTGCCAAATATTATTTTTGAAGCAGAGGTTATGTCAGTGAACACATCCAAGCACTTGACTCACACAGCATATATTCTAGGCTGGAGGGCAATGCATGTAGATTCCCAACGTCGGGCAATAGTGAGGGCTATGAATCATAATCAAGCTGAGTAAAAGGAAAGAGGGACAGTAAGGGTGTGTCATTTCATTTAGGATGGTCATAGAGGGATTCCTTGATCAACTGATACCTGAGAGAACTCTAGATGACTTGGGCAACACTGCAAAGTGCAAAGGCCCCAGGAGAATCCTGTGCCAGGCATTTTCAAGGGCAAGTGGAATATAAAGGAGAGAGGGGGTGGTCAGGTTTGGGAGCAGAGGTCAGATCATATGTGGTCTTGACCTTGAATTTTACTCTAAACTTGTTAGAGTGCCATTGGAAAGATTGAAGGTAAAGAAATGATATTATTTAATTTACATTTTAGAAGAACCACTCTGGTTGCTTGGGAAGTTAGAATGTGTGGAGCAAAACCGGAAGGTGAATGGGACAAGATAGGAATACATGACTGCTGTCAAGAACAGAGACAGTGGTGACTGGGACTAGGATGTTGGTAAATGTAAGAAGGGAGATGTGGTCAGATTCAGCATATATTTTGAAAACAGACTATGCTTATGGATTGATGTGGATATGGAAAAAAGAGGTTTTTTGGTCTGGCACAACTTAGTGAATGATACTCTTTACTGAGAGGGTTTATATTAAGGAAGGATCAGCTTTCATGCAGAGGATGAGAATCAAGGACGTGATAAGTTTGAGATGTCTAGAAGATAACCAAGGAAAGATGTCACATAGGCAGTTTGAGATCTAAGTCCAGAAATAGCAGCAAAGTCAAGGTGTAAACTGTAAATTAGGGATTATCAGCATGGATTTGAAGATATGAGGTACAATTTCTCAACCAACTTATCTCTGACAAAGCCTCCAACAACAACCACTGGGGAGAGGAGAACCTATTCAGTAAATGGTACTGGGAAAACTGGTTGGCCACATGCAGAAGATTGAAACAGGACCCCTACCTATCACCACACACAAAATCAACTCTAAATGGATCAAAGACCTAATGTAAAAATTCAAACTAGAAGTATCTTAGAAGATGCAGGAGGCACCCTTATGGAAATTGGAACTGGTAACCAATTCCTGATCAAAACCCTAAGTGCCCATACCATAAGAAATAAGATAGACAAGTGGAACCTCATCAAACTGATGAGCTTCTGCAAAGACAAAGAAACCATCAAGATAGCAGGGAAACAGCCCACAGGATAGGAAAAAATATTTGCCAACTATATATGACAAAGGCCTAACATCTAGGATCTACAGGAAACTCAAATGCGCCGAAAGGAAAAAGAAAAACAGCTCCAATAAAAAGTGGGCAAAAGACATGAATAGACACTTCTCAAAAGAAGATATACGTGCAGCCAACAGATACTTGAAAAAGTGCTGAGCCTCACTTATCATCAGAGAAATGCAAATCAAAACCACATTGAGATATCACCTAACCCCAGTTAGAATGGCTATCATTATCAAAACAAACAACAACAGATGCTGGAGAGGATGAGGAGAAAAAGGAATGCTTCTACACTGCTGGTGGGAATGCAAACTAGTACAACCTCTTTGGAAGACAGTGTGATGATTTCTGAAAGAACTAGAAAGTGACCTTCCGTATGACACTATAATCCCCCTATTGGGAATATACCTGGAAGAACTCAAATCACTCTACAAAAAAGATACCTGCACACGTATGTTTGTTGCAGCTCTATTCACAATAGCAGAAACATGGAACCAACCATGCTGCCCATCAAAGCTGGACTGGATTTTAAAAACGTGGTACATATACACAATGGAATATTATGTGGCCATAAAGAAGGACAAACATATAGGCTTCGCAGCAACCTGAATGGATTTAGAGTCTATCATACTTGGTCATCTACCACAAAAACAAAGAACAGAGTACCATATGTCCTCACTCATAAGTGGACCTTGAACAATTATCATAATACTATAAGAAAGGGATTGGCAGTTGAGGGAAACTGCCAGGGGAGGGATGGGCATACCTCATCAACAAGGGTATCTGCATAATGAACATCTGTATACATAACCCTAAATTTTACCCTCCATCTTTAAAATTTTTAAAAAATTAAATAACTAAAGATATGAGGCTGATGACATTCAAAGGTATAAGGCTGAATGAGATTCCCCAAGGAAAGGAATGTACACAGGGAAGATCTCCAAGGACCGAGCCCGGGGGCTTGCTGGTATCTAGAGATCAAGAGGAGAAGGACTCAGTAAAGGAAGCAACTATCTAAAGAACACTCTATCTTGCTAAACAGAAACCTACATTTGTTGGAAGACAATTATCCAAGTGTCTCTCACATTTCTGCACATCTGGCAAGCAGAGGCACTGGTTGCCTTTTTCCTAGACTGTCTTTACAAAGATGTTTATAAAGTGAGCAGTCTTTGAAAATAGAGTTAGAGTCCCTCTTTAGGGGAGAGAGAAAATTGCTTACAGCTTTGGAAAATAGAGACAGTGTCAATCTCCTAAACAAAGAGCAGGCATGCTTACTGCCCATTATAAAAGGTTCAAGTTCCCTAAACTCAGGGTTCCTCTCTTATAACACAGCGCACTACAAATGCAAGTGTCACCTCTCCCTTTTCGGTCATTCTATGGGAACTGGAATGGGAGAACTGGTAAAAGAATGTGCTGACACTCTGGCCACTGCTATCACTGTGATTTAAAAAGTTTTAAAATCTCTAACCTAGGCATCTCATGTCTCTGTCAGTATTCGTGAGCCTGTGACAAGCTAACTTGTTAGCTTACAAGTAAGGGAAAAGCTCAGGCCCTTCACAGTTCTTGTCAATCTCCTACTCAAAACTCACTTCTGTCTAGAGACTGAACATACAACTGTCAAACCTTACGTTGGAAGAAAAAGTCTTGCATCCCATAAAACTTCCCTAAGTACTTTGGTATGACAAGTGCTGCCCCGAGCTCCAGAGAATTTCCCAGGTCTGAAGTTGTCTGTCTACCCACAAATCTCCTTAGAAGCCACTGTCAGGCACTTTGGATGAGCCGGGATCAGGAATGTCAGCAGAGCTCGAACTGCTCACTCCCTTGAAACTTCTCCAGAATTCTAACTGCCACCGAAAACCTCTTCTTCCTGAAAACACAGTTAGACTATCTCTTCTGGCCTGCTTTGCAGTTAAGACTGGTTCTTGCCAATGGAATGTGAGTAGTGGTGCATACCTCTTCCAGACCATCTTCGTGCCCTTCTGCCAACTGGATTCAGGCAGCATCTAGGTCCTAGGACAACTCCAAAAACACAATTGGATCATGTGTTTACATTGACTACTTTGCTAGTCTATGTAAAGACTTCCACCCCAGTCCCTAAAGTCATAATCTCACTGATTTATTCTCTGTCCACAGGGGCAGCCCTACCAATGCTCATTCCCTCTGCTTCTTCCAAGCCTTTGCACAAGCCATTTGTGCAGCCTGCAGGCCTTTGTCCCCCCCTCAGGCCTCTCACTTGGCTAATCAGCTCAGCATCCAGGTCTCAGTGCAGACATTAATGTCTGCAGGAACAATTTTTTGGTCTCTCAAGGCCTCTCTTCTTGTGGACATTCTTTTTGCTCTGCTTGTAATTGTCTAAATACTTGTCCACTAGCCTGTGAGTTCCTTTAAAGTGTTTACTCATTCAGCACATTTTTATTCAAGTATTCCTATGTATCAGGCAGGGACTGCGTCTTCATCATTTTTCTGTTTCCAGCAAGCTACACAATGCCTGGCACTTTGTATATATTCACAGAGAAGACATGAATTTTATGTCTCCATTATCTACTATTTTGCCTGTC